TATGTGCTAGATCTGTGTAGTTCACTAGCCAGTCGTTGCATGTGGTGATTTAAATTTAAATATTAAATAAAATTACAAATTCAGTTCCTCAGTTGCACTAGCTACACTGAAATAGCTAGCACTTGAAATGTTCAGTTGCCATAATAGACAGCATAGTTTTAGAACGTTTCCACCTTTGCAGAGTCCTATGCACTATCTAGCACTATGCTAGATAATATCCTAATTTTGCAGATGAAGAAACCAAAGTTGACAAGAAAATACATAAGCTATCTGAAGTCTTAATGCTAGTAATTTTGGGTTTTGAACCCAAAAGCCTGTACTCACTATAATATGGCATGCTGTTTCTTTAATAGGTTGTGTATCCAACCCTCCCCCATCCAAATAATTGAATGTGTTTTCTAATTCATTAGCTCCAGATTAATGGGTTTAATTGCCTTCAATTTAACAAACAATATCTTCACATCCAAACTACATCCTTAACTCAGTGATAGTATACCCCCAGCTTATTTTAAAAAGAAGGAAAAGATCAGATTTAATTAGTGGCAACTAATTAAAATCTGTGTGCAAAAACACTTGGAGAAAGGATGACTGTAACATACTAAAGGAGGCTAAAGCTAATGGTGATTTAGGCATGGAAAGGAGATGGGAATTCTTTTCATTCTTTCAAATGAACACTCTCGGCTCTCACTTCACATGAAATACCTATAACTAGAGGATGGTTTGTCAGGTTCCTATTTTATCTACAGACAGGAAACACTTTCAAAAGAAGGAAAATACCCAGGCCAGCTACTATGAAAACAATGATTTAGACACAGGCAAGCATTCTTAGGGAGGGGCAGGGCTGCTCTGGAAATGAAGACACATAGGAAGATTTCAACTGAGTTGCCATCTTGAGGACTTTCTCTGTGGAAAAATTTTCTTATTCTTACAAGGAGATGCTGAAACCATTTAGGATGCTGTATCGCTGTGACAAACAATTAAGGGTACAAAGCAGTAAGAATATGAAAGTAGAGAGGAGATGTCTTACTGGCAGGAAAGGACATAGGGGTTATCAGGTATGGATGTGAGGGGGGGAGGTGGAGATTTCCAATTTCAAATAATGTGGTTGGTGGAGGTCTCAATGACAAAAGTGGCATTTGAACAAAGACCTGAAGGAATGTTGAAGGAGGGAGCCATGCACATACCTGGGGAAAGGACATCCTAGTCAGAAGAAACAAATCTCAAGAGGAAAGAGATGACATGTTCAAAGAAGGCCAAGGGGTTTTGCTTCACAAAGCTATTCCTTTCTTCGCCTGACCGTTCCAAGTTCTTCCAACACCAAGGCACATATGAATTGCTTAATAACTGTGGTAAGTACAATTCTGGGGAGCTGGTTTTTGATGTAAATAGAAACAGTGCTGTAGAAACAGGCACTTCAGTTCTCTCACAGACAGCACTTGGAATCCAACTTTCTAATAGCTCCTGGAGCTTTGTCAGAATAATAAAGGTGCTTCCTCAATATATCCTTTTCAGGGGGTGCATGGGTGGCTCAGACAGTTAAGCGTCTGACTCTTGGTTTCGGCTCAGGTCATGATCTCATGGCTTGTGGGTTTGAGCCCTGCATCAGGCTCTGTGCTGACAATGTGGAGCCTGCTTGGGATTCTGTCTCTCCTTCTCTCTCTGCTTCTCCCCTGCTCGCTCTCTCTCTCTCTCTCAAAATGAATAAACTTTAAGAAATATATATCCTTTTCAGGATTTCAAGACTATTTTTTATTAAAAAAATGTTTTTTAATGTTTTTATTTATTTTTGAAGGAGAGAGAGACAGAGCATGAGTGGGGGAGGAGCAGAAAGGAAGACACAGAATTTGAAGCAGCCTCCAGGCTCTAAGCTGTCAGCACAGAGCCCGATGCGGGGCTCGAACTCACGAACTGTGATATCATGACCTGAGCCAAAGTCAGGTTTGCATTTATAAGTATGCAGAAAAGAATGAACATAGCAGGCCTGAGACTGCTTATTCTCAGAAAGATATGCTTCCAAGGTCGGTTCTTGCTGGAATCTGGGAACTTGGGCTTTGGGAAGGTTCCCACCATCCCCAGAACTGATAAAACAAAAGAATATGGTTTATGCTGAATACCTGCTTTCCTTCTGGGAATCTGGAATTTTGGAACATGCCAAAATTGCTAGAGGTGCCTATGTGACCAGCCCCCAATAAAAACCTTGGGCATTGAGTCTCTAATGAGCTTCCTTGGTTGACAACATTTCACCTGTGTTGTCACAACTGGTTCCTGGGGGAGTTAAGTATAGCCCTTGTGATTCCCCTGGGAGAGAACACACAGAAGCTTGTGCCAGGTTTCCTCTAGGCTTTGCCCCAGGTACCGTTTCCCTCTGCTGATTTTGCTTTGTATGCTTTTGCTGTAATAAATCACAGCTGTGAACATAACTGTGCTAAGTCCTGTGAGTCCTCTAGCGATCATCAAACCTGGGGGTCTTGGGGACCCTGATACAGCAGAAGAATAAATTCAAATATAAAAACTGTATTACTTAAAACCCACATGAGCTTCAGGCAACATTTATTATCATTATATTTCACTACACTTGTTAAAATCTAGGATACATTTTGACAAGGTAACGGCAAACAGGCAAACAACCCAATGTCTGTGATAGTTCTATAGCCCACTGATTTGTGGACTATATAATGCTGTCAAAAGAAATGAACCACCAGTTTTTTAATCTACCACATAACCTCCTAAGAAGCGAGGACCCACCAGAGTTTGGTACCCTTGACTTTTTCCTTCCCCTCATTCTTCACAGTAACTCAGTTCAATCTTTTCACTATTTGGCTTAGAGCCATCAATTAATAACCATCAAAAGACCAAAACCAGTATGATCCATCTGGGTAGTATTTTATAGAGAAGCCACACCCATAAACTAAAGGGGTTTCATGGCATTCCAGGGTATGCTTGCAAAATAACCCACGGATGCTACAGGTGAAGGACTGGGGACATTTGATCTGCTATGAGGAGGAATGGAGTGACAGGATCTCCTGTTAGATAAAAAGCAAGGATGCATCTGGTCTATGAAAATGCACCGAATGAAATGAAACGATAGCAGAAGCTCATGGAGAAAGCTGTGTGATCACTCCAAGCATTGCCAAGAACTGCTTTGGAACGCACTGTCCATGCACGTGCGTGTACACATACATATACTTTTACACACACTTTTAAATAATCTCCAGGGTCTCAAATAAATGGGCCTGGCCCTCTTGGCTTCTCTTTTACAATAAATGTTAGATTTCTTCATGGTACATATATAGGCTCATACAAAATTTCATTTATTGTGCCGGTAAAAAAATCAAGGAAGAAAACAGTATAAAAATGTTGTGTTATGCTAATTTTAAAAATGTTTAATACATTATTATGTTTTTATAATTTTTGGTTAACTGCTCTTCACACAACTCATGCATACTTACACTTAGATTATGCTGACTGGGATAAGATACTGTATCCAGAGAAACACATACAACTTTATTTGCTGTCAGTTTCAATTAGAGTTCATAGGAGAACGACTTGGGAGTTAAGAGGTGCTGACGCCCTGGTGCAGTCAAAAATCCACATTAACGGGGCGCCTGGGTGGCGCAGTCGGTTAAGCGTCCGACTTCAGCCAGGTCACGATCTCGCGGTCCGTGAGTTCGAGCCCCGCGTCAGGCTCTGGGCTGATGGCTCGGAGCCTGGAGCCTGTTTCCGATTCTGTGTCTCCCTCTCTCTCTGCCCCTCCCCCGTTCATGCTCTGTCTCTCTCTGTCCCAAAAATAAATAAACGTTGAAAAAAAATAAATAAATAAAAAATAAAAAAATTAAAAAAAAAATCCACATTAACTGTTGACTCCCCAAAAACTTAACGACTAATATAGCCTAGTGATAAACTAAGTAGCCCAACAACAGAGATTTTATGTTTTATCTGTTATATACTGTAGTCTTACAATGAAGTAAGCTAGAAAAAAGAAAGTGTTAAGGAAACCATAAAGAGGAAATATTGACAGTACTGTAAGAGATCTGTGTACAAGTGGACCCGCACAAGTTCACACCTGTGTTGTTCAAAGGTCAAGCGGACTTTCCTGCCATCTTTACCAGAGGCACTAACAAGATACTCCAATTGTTCTGAGTTTCAGTCTCTCTCTATTGTCTCTGCCTAGAGATGATGGTATAGAGAAATGAAATCCGTATTTACTATACCAACTGTCTAAAGAACTGTGAAAAAAAATAACTTGTTTTTACATGTTCTTGGACTATAAATAATAATAAATGGCCGAATACACATAATTTCAAAAGTATACATTGATAAATTAGTATATATTTTCCCCAGGCTCTTGGAGAAGCAGATAAAGAAGGCAGATTAGGGCTTACATTTTCCCGGTTTGGCTGGAATTCGAATCACAGTGGGCTTCCTGGTGGGTGCTGGTTGAACTGCTCGTTCTTTTGTTGGTTCTGTTTTTGTGGGGAGCTGAAAGGGATCTAATGAAAAACACAGTTTATTTTGCATGTTTTAGTTAACATGGACTCAAACAAAAAACCTCATTCATAATTAAAGAGTCATATTTTCATGCCCCAGGGAAAACTATTCATGGATAAACAAAATCTCAGTTTGCAGAGACAAACACAAAGTCGGAGCTCATGAAAGGAAATAACTTGGTGCTCTGTAAATAATTCATGTGGCTTTTCTTCCTCTCTGATGAGAGATATCCAGGACAAACTTGAATTATGAAGAAGCAATCCTTCAAGGGAGTACAGTCATTTCGCAAGTGTTGCCTGAAAATGAGGGGCAACTGAGACGAACAGCCAATTTCCCCCTATCGTGAAGCCTCCCAGATCCCCCAGGAAAGAAGGCCTTTTCTCCCCCCCTCTCACTCCTGTGCCTGTCCCAGAACTCAGGCACAAGACTCACCAAGGGCCCTCATCCTACCTAGCACCGTCCCTGATACAGAGTGTGCCTGGCACACTTTGCTGAGCAGAGTGTCAGTCGTTCAGTAAAACCACACTTCAGTTAACAGGAAAATGAAAAATGTTTTATCTTTGAAATAAGATTAAGACACCTTCCTTCAGATATTTCATTTGGGGGCAAGGATACAGGACTTGGCATTTCTCCACCTTAACTGATTCATTTAAAATTGACAGTGTATGTTTAGAGAAAGTATTTTATT